TATCTGTAAGAAATCCCTTGGAAGTAACAATTTTTGAACTCGAAGATCGAATATTTATGGGTACAGAATTCCTTACATGTTGGCAAACATAACAGAGACTCAAAGCTTTGCTGTTCAAACGAGTATTAATTTTGTTGAGTGGTTTAAGAATAGAAGAAAATTATAATTTGAGATTGATTTCTCTACCACTTTTGACTTTACATAGTTTTATTTGACAATTCGTGCACAAAGTATTAGGTAACCTTTTATCACAAGGGTTGTAGTCATACATCTTCTTAAAGTAATTATTTAACTTTCCTTGCACTCGCATAATAATTTTTGACCTTCCAAAACACAATAATCAAACTTTTGAACGATTTTTATTATGTGTTCCTGCCTTTCGCATTTTAATTAATACAAAAACTTATCTGAAAAACTATGGATCACTGGCATGTTAAAAAACAAAAGCGAAAATAAACAATTATAAGTAATCAAGGAAACAAAGATTCAAATAATCAAAATTCTGTAATTTTCATGGGGGATTCCACGGGTAAATCAAACAGTTGTACGTGACAAGTTATCGATTTGTCTCAAAGTTTTTAGGCGTATTCTACCTTCAAAAATTGTGATCTAGCCAAAATTTTAAGTGCGTATCTCATAAAGATCACTCACAATCTTCAATTTCATGAAAAGTGACATTTTTAAAAACTAAAATTAAAAAATCCATTTTTGCTTGAAAAAATGTCAATTTTGGCCTAAAAAAAATTCGGAAAAGTACTAGTCGATGGGAAATTTTCCAAAGAATCCAATGCCGTTGCAATTTTCGAGATATTTCAAAACGCATGCGCAGTAGATTAAAAAAACTACTTTTTTAAAAAAAATTTATACAAACTATATCTTTTGCATAAAAAATTTAGTTTAATCTTTTAAAAAAAAATAACACAGAATAACCAACAAAAAAGCAAAAAAATCAATATAATTTTAGTTTCCTTCCACCAAATATTTTCATTTTGGTCTTAAAATAATCAGAAGACATAACCAAAGTCATTCCAAAAGAAAACGGTAAGGTGGGCGGACTTTTGGGTTCAAGTCAATCCAAGCTCACCGTGGTTAATATAGGTCAATTTTGAGGGCAGTTTTGACCTAGGCGTCAAAATTTGACAAAGAATTCAATTTTGAGGGCAGTTTTGACCTAGACGTCAAAATTTGACAAACAATTTCCGCTACCCTCAAAATTTAGGTGAATTTTAAGGGCAGTTTTGACCTACGCATCAAAAATTGACAAAGAATTCCCGCTACCCTCAAAATTTAGGTCAATTTTGAGGGCAGTTTTGAGCTAGACGTGAAAGTTTGACAAACAATTTCCGCTACCCTCAAAATTTAGGTCAATTTTGAGGGCAGTTTTGACCTACACATCAAAATTTGACAAAGAATTCCCGCTACCCTCAAAATTTAGGTCAAGTTTGAGGGCAGCTTTGACATAGACGTCAAAATTTGTCAAACAATTTCTGCGCACAGACTTAATGATGAGGTGAAGTTTGGCATCTGACCTAACAATGTAAGGTAATTTTAAAATTGTGTTTGCTCTTACACCTATAATTTTGACCTAATTTTGACGTTTTATTTTTACTCCCTCATTTAGTTACGTCATAATCTATGTGTAATTTGACTTTTATTTAACTACAACTTAAAAAGGGACAATAAAGGACAATAAACGTATCTACGATACGTCAAAATCTATTTAAAATTTAACGTCTTTTTAACCTATAGGTTAAAATGGGTCAAAATATATGTCAAAGTTTAATCTAATTTTTGACATATAGATAAAAAAGGTCTATGTGTATATCTATGTATATATATCTATCTATGTGTATTTTGTCATGTATTGTATGCAATTTATTAAGATGCATTGATATTAAGAAAAAATTACTTTAAATTTATAAAAATTAAAATAAATATAAAAATAGAGATAGGGGGTTGACGCGCAGGGGGGCGAAGCCCCCCTAGTATATATATATATATATATATATATATATATATATATATATATATATATATATATATATATATATATATATATATATATATATATATATAGGGGAGAGTGGTCCTAAGTTGACCGCCTAAGCAAATTGGTCGAAAATAGTAACAAAATGAAATTTAATCACCTCGGCAAGTATATATTAGTGTTCAGAGATCGTTTTGCTATAATTTTGTGGTATTTAGAACGTTATAGAATGGCTTTTGTAGTCTTAATACAATAAATAGTTAAAAGCTGCATTTTTGGACATTTCAGAAATAGCGGTCCTAAGTTGGCCACCACTTTTTTTGCTTGTGTATAAGGAAGAAATGCATATTCTTTTGAATTACGCAGAAATTTTACAAATTTGATACATTTAGGAGAATAAAAACGCATTATTTAACTATTTTTGTTTAGAAAATGAAGCATTATTTTATTTCATTTATTTGCAGTGGTGGATGGCTGTGGAGACAGGCGTTTTTGTACTATGTCTTTTCTAATGTTTTTACGTCTTTCTCAAAAAAAAACACAAAAAAGAAGTAAAAGAAATAAAAACAAACAAAAACAATAGGTGGCCAACTTAGGACTACTGTAGATTTTTACAAGTTTCAAATTATTAGGGGAGGGTGGTCTCATACCGACCCTTCGTATCATACCGACCCCCCTATGTTTCTTGAAGATGGTACCACTAAAAAATTCGTCAGTACCATCAGTCGAACACTTTCACAACACCAACAACTGGGCCACAGGTTTTATCAATGCGTTTGATTTCATTTTGAAGATTCAAGCAATATTAGTTTTTAGCATTGTTTAAATTAATTTTTGACCTATACGGAATTCGAGCTAACAGTGTTTTTTGAATACAGGAAAATTTTTACGAAATTAATTTTGATTGTGTATGACCTTAACTTCAACGCACAACATTCAAATTAAATTGATTCCATTGATATAAGTGATTGGCAAAATATTTTGTGAAAATAGTGGGGGTGGTCCGAAACCGACCCCCAAGGGGTGGTCCCAACCCGACCCCCATATTTTTACATTGTAATTGTTTATTCTCTTCTTCCTTATTGTTTACATGAAGTGGGGATAGGTTTTGCATATTTACTTTTATTTTTTAGGAATTTATAAAATATTTTACTAACAATCACAGCACTTATTACTTAACTTTAATTCTCTTTTGGTTAAATATTTTATTCATTGTCAGTTGTAAAATGTTCTTGACAAGGCGATATGAATTAAGAAAAGGTGTACTTTTCGACATCTTTGGAAGCAGTTAAATACAAAAACGAAAAAAAAATTAATAACAAAATTCGTATAGATTTTACTAGAAATAGGGCGAAAATTAAAACAGGCAAAACCATTGCTGCTATTATATTGGAAATTTAGACACTGTTTGACAATTTATATTTATTATCATTTTAAAAAAGGCCTTAAAATTTATTTAAATAAAGTAATAATATTAATTCAAGTTTAACTATGTCAACATAACTTAAAGACATAAATAATCTCAGAGTAAAGTTACTAATGATTCATTTATTTTCCTTTTTGTTCAGAAAAAGGTCCAAAAATGTATTTAAATGAAGTAAAAATAATTTAACAGTTCATTAAAGACTGTTGAATTTTATTTTAATTACTATCAGAATTTGATATCTTGATTATTCTTGAGATTTCCCCCAAAGAAATGGGGGGTCGGTTTCGGACCACCCATTTTGAAAAAGTTAAAAACGTAAATTTTCGCTTTTTCTTTAGATCTTTTATTAATGACAATCAGAAACCTCGGCAATCGTCAGAAAACATTGAAAAATAGTTCCTTTACTCAAAAAAATTTTGACGAAGACAAAGAAACACATTTTTGGCACATTTTTAGCCTTTGCACTTTAGGGGGTCGGTATGGGACCACCCTCCCTTACCCTAATAAAAAAAATTTAATTAAAAAATCAACAGAACCTCTTATTACAACATTAAATAAAGGAACTAGCGCACACACTTATTTACAAATTTTTAATTATTTATCTCTTGTAGCTGCTTTCGAAAAAACAAGAAAAATTAAATTTTTTTGATCTTAAACAATATTATTGTCCTCATAATCCGTAGAAGAATCTTAGATTATAATTAGGTCCATAAATTATATCATGGTTTATTAATTTATCATACCACAAAATTATAGATTCGTCCAGTATACCATCTCTGAGAAATGCAGGGTGGCCAACTTAGGCCCACGGCCAACTTAGGACCACTCTTCCCTATATATATATATACAGATAACCAGCGTACTAGTACGATGCATGTACAATACGACTATGGCGTATTAGTCGTACTGGTACTGTACTAGTATGTCGTACCAGTATGCTTATGCTCTTATAATACGAGCACGATAATAGTATGGTGTACTGAAGGTTTTTGTAATTTAGTTTATCGTACGGTTACTGTATTCGTACTATACTAGTACCGCGTGTAAAGCCTTTTATATCCCTCCCCCTCTTGTGCTTTAGTCTGTATTAAGTATTAACTATTTTAATTTAATATTTGATGATAAATTTTCTGAAAGAATCATTACTAAGATCAATTTAATTTTGAAGTAATTTATTTTTATTAAAAGATTTTTTTTTTTGTACCTGAAGATATTATGTAATATACTATATAAATTCAACAGAGAAATACAAATAATTTTTCAAATTAAGTGAATAATAAAAACATATTTACATGTTTTTTGAAGTTAATAAAATTTTTTTTTAATTCGTGAAAGTTTTTTAATCTCAAAAAGTAGTAAAAAAGACGTACAAATGAAAAAAAATTTTAAAAATTCTTAATAAATAGAAAATTTAAAAATCTGCATGAAATGTTTTTTCCTATTTTAATAGGTTTTCACTAGTGTCAGAAATCATATAAATTTCACCATATCAGCTCAATTAAGAAGATTATCGGTATTGAATCTGTGCGTAAGCACGTTTTCAACTAGAGTTTGCGCAAAAGTGACTTCAATATGGATTCTTTTTGCAATCGTCGTGTAGTGCTAATTCAAAGAAATTCATCAAGTGTGATTAAATTATTTTCGTCTCTAAACAAAATTCTCCCTTAGAATTTAATTTTTAGATATAATTATCAATTAGTGAAATAAAGAACATGTCCGAAGATTATCAATATGCATGTCAAAGAGCCGAATTACTAGGATTACCAACCCCATCTCAAGAAGAATGGGCCAATAGTGAAGAGGCTCAAAAAAGAAATAACGAACAAGAAGAAAATTCAGATATTGCAAAAGCACATGTAAATTATTCAATTTTTATCAATACCCTTCTGCAACTGAAAAAATTACCCAAAAATAATCATTTAAAATTTAAAATCGATAAAAACAAATAACCAAATAATTCAAGATTTTCATCATCTCTTATAAATTATAAAATTTTTTAGATTTGAAATCAATGTTTCAATTTCATTTTTAAACAAATATTATTGACAAAAAATTTTTTTTAAATTTATAAGTACATATTATTTCATTAAATATCGTTTTTCTCTCTTTTTTTGCATATGAATTTTTGAAATCAGGAATTGGATGAAACGGATGAGAGTACGAAACGAGTAGGCGGTGGATTAGATGAATTAAATAGTATTCTTTCAGCCACACAGAAAAAAATCAACAGGTTCAAGGTAATTTCTATATTACTAAATGTCAAAGTAATATCACAAAAAATTTTAATATTTTAAATAATTTCTGACAAAAAATATTTGAAATCTTCAAAATTTAACCCTTTTTTAAAATTAAAAATATTCCTGACATTTTTTCTTTTCTTTAGTCTTAAAGTAAACAGGAATGACAGTAAATTTTTTCTTTGAAATATAGGTGAAAAGGTGAGATATTTTCTAAAAATAGGTGACAAGAAGTCGAACTTTTAGACCTGCTTACATCCTTAAAACTGAGGGTTTTTAAGGACGTAATAGGATGAAAACAGAGTTTATTTGCATTGCAAGTTAACTCTGATTACCTCCTGCAAACCCCTGGTTAGCGACAAATTTAGATGGTAAAAGGGGGAAAGCAGGTGTTCCTAGAACCTTATTAAATACTGCTTAACCCTTACTTACAGAATTCTTCCCTCTCCCAAAACCCTGGAAAAACTGCTCATTGCATATTTGAGATCATTTTTAACTAATTTTTATAATAAGTTTAATTATTAATAAATGACATTATTATTTAATGATTTTACATTTTTTTAATTTAATCGTGACCAATAGCGAATTCATAAATAATGTTAGTATATATATGTGGGTATTAATACATATCCCTTCTCTCTAAATCTGAATATGTGAAATTTCACTTATTGTACGTTATAAGTCGTCCTCTCGATCAATAAGTGCATATACACTTATAAATAAGTGAATTTTTCACTTATTCTGAGTGAAATTTCACTTATTATAAGTGTATATGCACTTATTGATCGAGAAGACGACTTATAACGTACAAATATGTGAATTTTCACATATTCAGATTTAGAGAGTTCATATATAAATAAAAAAAAAATTTAAATTAAATATTTGTTAATTAAATTATTTAACGGTGTATATAATCATTAAATTGCATACTTATACCTATACAATATAGAAAAATCGGAATAAACGCAAACCTTCGAAATAAATAAAATCTAACGCACGCGAGACTTGACCCTGCGACCTACGAAACTAACGCCCTAACCACTATGCTACGGAACCTAACTGAACACAGACGCTTTATTTTCAGTGACTTGTTGAGTGATTCAATAAAGCATTTATTGACACTAATACATCAAATATATAAATTGTTTAATAATAATATGAACAATATTAATAATATAATAATAACCTATAAATATTCATAAATTAATATTTTTATTATTTAAAAAAATGTCAAAACATTTCAGTTAAAAATAATATTTATAAATTAATAATAAAAAAGTGGCTTCCGGAACCGTTTCGGTATACACGCGTTTAAAAAGAGTAAAGAGTTTTCAAACAAATTTTGGTGATGAAAAGACCCAGTGAGAAATTGCCAATAGACTTTAATCGGTCCAATATCGGTCCAATATTGGTTGCCGTGCTGGGCGCCGATTGACTCCCAATATTGGACCAATATGGGCTGATGCTTGGGATGTAACGGCATCGGCAATCATCGGTTGTCAATATTGGTCCAATATTGGCCGAATATTGGCAACCAAGAGAAAAAAATTTTTTTAAATAAATTTTTTTTAATTAAATAATAATAATAAAAAATTAATGTTTATAATTTTTGTTTAATATATTTATTTGTTTAATTATTTATTTTTAATAATTCATGTAAATAATAAATAATTTATTATTTATAAATTATAATTATTTAAAAATGCAGCAGCTATTAGAAAATAGCATTCTGCAAAAAAATTCTATCATTGAAAAATCAATGATAGGCGAGAGAAATCCGCGTCTTTAAATAGATTCGCAGATGATAGACAAGAGATATCCGCGTCATTAAACGGATTCGCAGATATACTCTGGTCTCGCGACGAATCTCTCGATACTTATATACACTCGAGTCGCCGTGTCAGTTGCGAGAACGGTTACAGCGTCCCTCTTTCGGCGGAGATAAGAATTGTCACGTAAACTGCGGGTATAATAAGGCGGTCGGTAAAGCGATTTAGCAGTTTACGTGACAATTCTTATCTCTGCCGCAAGAGGGACGCTGTAACCGTTCTCGCAACTGACACGGCGACTCCAGTGTATATAAGTATCGAGAGATTCGTCGCGAGACCAGAGTATATCTGCGAATCCGTTTAATGACGCGGATATCTCTTGTCTATCATCTGCGAATCTATTTAAAGACGCGGATTTCTCTCGCCTATCATTGATTTTTCAATGATAGAATTTTTTTGCAGAATGCTATTTTCTAATAGCTGCTGCATTTTTAAATAATTATAATTTATAAATAATAAATTATTTATTATTTACATGAATTATTAAAAATAAATAATTAAACAAATAAATATATTAAACAAAAATTATAAACATTAATTTTTTATTATTATTATTTAATTAAAAAAAATTTATTTAAAAAAATTTTTTTCTCTTGGTTGCCAATATTCGGCCAATATTGGACCAATATTGACAACCGATGATTGGCGATGCCGTTACATCCCAAGCATCAGCCCATATTGGTCCAATATTGGAAGCCTTTATTGGACCGATGATCGGTCTCTTGGCTCCCAATATTGGACCGATATTGGACCGGTGAGAAATTTCTCACTGGGGAAGGGTGGGTAGTGTAGAGTGTTAAGCGTGTAGTGGATTTTACGATAGTGTAAAGGAAAAGTGTGTTTGCATAGAGCAGTGACTGTGTGAGTGATAAAAAAAGTAAAAAAGAGAAGTGTGTATTGTGAGGTTAGGTTGCATGAAGTGAGAGAGGAGAGAGAGACAGTAGAAAATTTTGAGTGATAAGGTAGGTTTCTGGAATGGCTGAGTCTGACTCAAGTAGTGGAAGTGAGAGGGAGAAAGAGGCGCGAGGAATAGGAAAGAATGGAAAAAAGATGACGTGTGAGGATTGTATGGATTTGTTAGAATTAGTATGGATGTTGAAGAATGCGATGGATGAAGGAGCTAAGAGAGTGAAGGGAAATTTGATGGATATATGTGAGGATGGGAAATCAAGGGACAAAGAGATAGTGGATATTGAAGAGAGGTTGGAGAAATTGCAGGAAATGTGGAATGAATGGGATAGTAAATGGAAAAAGGAAAAGGAGAGTATGTGGAGAAGAATGAATGGATTAGAAAAATTTGTAAGGGAAGCGAATGGAATAGAGAAAGTTGATGGAAGTGATTATGACAGGTTGAAGTGGAAAATGGGAGATTTATTAAGACGAGTGGATGTAGTGGAGCAGAAAAAAAGGAAAAAGAATGTAGTGATCAGAGGCATGAATGTAGAGGTGTTTGAGGGTAAGAGAGAGGTGGAAAAAGTGTTGGCGCGGGTGGGAGTCAGTGTAAGTGTTAAAACAGTGAAAGCGATAGGAATGGGTGAGAATGGTGTACCAAAGTTATGGCTGGTGGAGTTGGGTAGTGAGAAAGAGAAAATGGATGTGATAAGTGTTAAAGGAAGACTGAAAGGAAGTGTGATAAGAATAGATGAGGATAGAAGCTGGAGAGAGAGAAGAATGATGTGGTTATTGAGAGAAAGAGCGTGGATTGAGAGAGTGAATGGGAAGCAGGTAAAATGAGTAAATATTGTATTTGGGTGGATGGTGTAAGGTATTGTGTGAGGGAGGATACGGGTGGAGTGATTGAAGCATAAGGAGCATGATAGAGTAAATGGAGAGAGTATGGTATCGAATGGATTGGTTGAAGGTGGAAATAGGGTTAAAGTAAAAAAGAGGGGTGGGCGAGATGAGACGATCCAGCATGGGCATAAAAGGATCTGGAAACGGAAGCCCGGCACTGGCGAATTGAGAGGTTGAGAGAGATGCGAGTAGGTTAAGTTGAGGATATGTTAAGTTGCGATAGGTTAAGTTGTATGAGTTGTATTTCAGTTGTAAGAATATTTGTAAAAATAGACTAAGTTGATTAATGTATGTTTTTGGGAGTCTCGAACCCTGCGGATGCAGGGAGAGTAAATAAACAATATAATAATAAAAAAGTGCATGTTCACTTATCCAGGTTCGACTGTATTTATAAAATGAATTGAATTCTTGCGGAGAATTTTACTATTTATAAAAATAATTGAATTTTTCGGAAGGAGTTATAAACGTTTTAGAAAATAATTGAATTCTTTCGTAAAATTTTCAAAATAAAAAAATTTGTAATTTCCATAACAATAATAAGTTGAATATCTCGTTCCGCGCGTAACATTTGCTATTGTAAGAATGTAGTAGAAGCAATACAGAGTTTAAGGTTCAATTAGGACTTAAAAAGGAGTTGTCAGAGTTAAATAGAACTTACGCAGGAGGAAAAAGAACACCAAGGGTTTCTTTGGTGCAGGTTAGGGTTAAATTATACTTACCAGGAGGTAAGCAGGTCTAAAAGTTCGACTCGGGTAAGGATTAAAAAATAGAATGATATTTAAAATCTTTGAAATACGGGGCGATTTATTTTTGCAAATTTTTTAACATTTGAATGAAAGAAATTTATTTATTTATTGTTTAAATTCAAATTTTGTTATAACAATATTGCGTTACGTTCCAAAAAAAAATTATAAACTATATAAATCTTTGTGGATTAAAAGCATACAGGCACACAAAAAAAAGTCAAAACCCAGAGGTCACACCCCCCTATCCCCATGTTTTTGGGATCGCTGAAACCGAATATGACCATGAAAATTTTTTTTCATCGGCCATTTTCCCACTACCACCCCCTTACACCTGCTCCTTGGGGTTGGAATTTCAGTTTAAAAAAAAGTCGAGTAGAGTGTTTATTCCTATGTCTTTTGGGTCGCTAAAACCAAAAAAGACTACCAAAAACAAATTCTTCCCTCCCTCAGCACCCCCAGGGTGGGGGATGAAATTCGATTTTTCACGAAAAGTCGAGTGCTGTCTAAACCTACGTTTTCTGGGTCGCTGAAACCAAAAAGGACTACCAAAAACCAATTCTTCCCTCCCTTAACCCCCTAAAGCCCCCTTAACACCCCCAGGGTGTGGGTTGAAATTCGCATTTTCACGAAA